CTTGACTTGCTGTATAAGCTGGGACCTCGGTACAGTGCAGATTAAAAGTCGGAATGGCACTGCTGTGGTTTCTCAGTGTTTCACTAGTAAGTAGTACAACACTTGCAGTAGGTTTAAGAAAGTCATGTTTTACACGATTTTATCATTTGAATGCTGGAATTGTGTTATCTTTTCTGCATCTATTTAGATAATCTTATATTTTTTCTTTTAATCTGCTAATGTGATTAATTACGTGGATTAATACTGAAATGCTAAATCATGCTTTATTTCAATTGGAACAATTTAATCATGACGTATTATTTTCTTATATATTAATTAAAAAATCTGGAGAGGATTGAGATGTTCACAAACTACAAATGAGACCATCACTGAATCTTTCAGCTGCCAATACTAAACCAATGCCATGATTTTTAGATTCTTCTAAAAATTTCTTTTAAACTTAGTTTGTTAATTGTTTAGTATTTCTGCATATAAGTGTATAAATAAGACCATCCTATAATCTCTTTTCGTATATCTTCAGGTTTTGGTATCAAGCTTATGCTAGGGCCATAAGGTGAACTGCATCTCTCTTGAATCTCTGGAAGACACTGTGGAAGACTGCAGTTATTCCCTAAATGCTGTAGAACTCACCGAGCCATCTGAACTCAGTGGTTTCTTTATGAGAAGCTTTTCAAATACTGGTTATATTTCTTTAATGATCATAGGTATATTCAGTTTCATTAATCTATGATTTAAGGAATTTATTCTATCTAATTTCTCAAATTTAGTGACATAAAGTTGCTCCTAATGTCCCGGAGCATCTGTAATGATGGCCCATTTTTCATTTTGGCTACTGGGTATTTGTACCCTGACACTCTCTCCTTGGTCAGCTTAACAAGTTATCCTGATTTTGGAGCCATTTTGAAACACCAGCTCTTGGCTTTGTGACCTCTATTCTGCTAGTGTGCTTTCCATTTCATTGATTTCTGCTCCATATTCTTTCTTTCTTTTTCCCTGTGTTTGCTTTTTTGTTGATTTTCTCAGTTCTTCAGATGGATGCTTAGCTCAGCCTTTCCTCTAAATTCCCACAGATTAATTTGAGGGTTTTAGTTTCCCTCTAACAATTGTTTTAACTATATCCTGTGAATTTTGATATGTAGTATTAATCATCGTTTCATTAAAAATATTTTCTAATTTCTCTTTGATAAATATATTTAGAAATTTTTATATTTCCTAACATAAGGTGATTTTCTAGATATTTTTTTGTTACTGATCTCTAGCACAGTTGTATGATGGTCAGAGAAACATAATCTACATGATTTTTAAGCCCCTTGAATCATACATTCCATGTATGATTCAGGAGATAGTATATTCCCAAGTTCTGGGTAGTGTTTTACATATATCCCTCAGGTCAAGGGCTCTAATTGTGTCTGTCACATCCTCAGTATTCTTAATAAGACTCACAAAATTCACATTTTTTTGTGACCGGAAAATTCCCGGGAACAGTGGTCCCTCTAAGTGTCTGTTTACCTGGGTGGGTTCCTGTGTTTTCTCCCATTTTGAGCTAACAATTCCATATAACTCTGTCAGCTCTTTGATGTGATGCTTTCAATGTTTTTAATATTTTTCCAACATCTTAAATTGCTTTCAGTGAGTAAATTGCTCTGAGTGACCTAGCCTTCCATTACTGAAGCCTAGAAATTCTAGTTCCTGTGAATGTTATCAGCTCTGATTTTCTCTTATCTAATTTAGGACTTTTTAATGTGAAGTATAGTAATTCCTCCAACTTCATTTTCTATTGCTGAAGTGCAATTTATTCGAATTTGAAATGACCTAACCATTACAATCTAAAATATTTGCAATGCTTCCAGGCCAAAAGTTTTCAAAAGGCTCCTTATTTGAACTTCGTCATCTTGCTAATCTTTAACAAGATTTATAAAACTGTAATGGACACCACAGGAGTTCATGACCATTGGATAATGTGCTGCTGTTTCCAATCACAGGGAGTCAGTCATGCTTTCTGCTCCCTGCTCGCCCTGCATAACAATGCAGAGCTTTATGTCAGCCAATGGAAAGAACATGGGCTTAGAACAGGAGCCCTAGGGTCCAAATTCCTGCTCTACCACCTAATGTACTAGCTGGCTGTGCCAAGTCATTTCACCTCTCTGGGCCAGTTTGTTCTTCCCTAAAATGGGTCTTAGGTTCTCAGGTTACTGTGAGGCTCAAATGGGATCATGTGATGTAAGCAACTAAGCACAGAAATGATACCCAGGAAGGGTCTGATCCAATTTGGAGACCCTTATGACATTAGAAAGCAATGGAAAACATTAAACATGGCTATACAGCATGAGATGGAAGAGGGATTAGGAAGTGCAGAGAGAGCACGGACACTCGTGATAACGTCATGCAAGGAGAAGTGTGACTGAAGGAACAATTAATAAAGAAAATATCAGTTAAATTCTTTGTTTCAGTTTTCTCTGTTTCTGAAATTCTTAAAAGAATGCAATCCCTTTCAGAATTCATAATGCTGGGTTTGGGCCATTTTTTGCATTTTATATGTGTGCAGCTGTGCCTCCACTCTAAGCATGCACATCTGCTCATTAGCAATACAATATAATTCCCACTGTCTAATTATTTGCAGATGATGGATTCCTTGTACATAGTCTAAAAAAAGGATAGTCCTTCAAAACTGGTGACTTATTTAAAAAAACTAACTTAAAAGGGTCAGCACAACGAAGTTCAGATATTAATTTGGCAAGTTCAAATATATGAACACCAGCACTTAATTGCCCACTTGATGGGAAACAGAAGGAAAATAGGATTTTTCTCCTTCTAATTAATGTTTCCCAGTAGACAGCACAGGGGGCTCGCTGCTCCACCACGCACCTGGAAAGAAGACGTGGGGCAAACCTGCCAGAGATGGAAGAGACCGACCTGCCTCACTCTCTGGGACCCACTGGGCACAGCCCACCTGCAGCAGGGCTTCCTGGTGAGCTTGTGTGAGTGGGACATGTGGGGTCCAGAAGAACTGATTGGAAAAGAGCCCTCGGGTTTCCAGCTCCAAGCATGGGCTGAGGAGCCACAAGTCCCCCACCCATGGATCAGAGGCTGAGGCAGCTGGCCAGGATGTGAGCTCTGGGGCCGCCTGAAGCCCACCAGCTAGGACGGGGCATCCCACTGGGCAGGCAGACCAAGATTTCCTAGGATAACCCTGGCTCACTGTGGAAGACGGTGGCAGGGGCCAGAGGGAAAGCAGGAAGCAGCTGAGGAGGATAAAGGGCACGGACAAGGGACAGGAAACTACCTGGAGTCTCAGAGCACAAGCTGGGGAAATGGAATGGAGAAAGCTGAGGAGAGTTGGGATTCAAGGAGGAATGAGACACAGAGGGCCGGCAAGGGGGCTCTTCCACAGGTGGCAAGGGGCTGGCAGCTGGACAGTCAGCCCTCCGGGTCTGCTGCCGGGCACCCTTGATTCAACCCCCGTTGTCAGAAATTATCTGAGAAACAATGTGTCTGAACTGAACACGCACAGACTTTTCTCCTTGTTGTGATTCCCTGAACACACTGTACAACAATGATTTACATAGCATTTACATTGCATTAGGAATTACAAGGAATCTAGAGATGATTTAAAATATACAGGAGATTGTGTAGGTTATATGCAAATACTATGCTGTTCTACAACGGACTTGAGCATCTGCAGATTGTGGTGTCCATGGGGTCCTGGACCTAATGCCCACGGATGCTGAGGGAAGGCGTACCTGCCAGGTGCTTATGCTAGGCCAGGCACCCTGCTCCGGGCTACACCCTGCATCCCTCCTGCATCCTGACAACTTCCGGGGCAGGAACTCTTTACAGGCACAGAAACAGCTCCATTCACTCTTTCCATGAGAAAGGGTCAGCTCAACGAAAAACAAACCAGTAAACCGCCAACGACCAATGACAGGGAGCACAAGGTAGAGAGCCACTTGGGGGTGGGGACAGGGAGCGGGCTTTAACCAGGGTGTGGGGGGAGACCTCAGTGAGGACTGGACATCCTGAGGCCTAGAGAACAGAGCGGGCAGGTCCCATCAAGATCTGTGGGCAGACTGAGCAGTAGCCCCAGATCCCAGGCAGGAAGGCACGTGAGCCTTTTAGGAATGGAACAAGCAAAGGCCCCAGTAACGAGGTGAGGTGAGCAAGAGGCAGGCACCTGGCTTGAGCGGAGGTTGGAGAGTGAGGTGCCTCAGTTAATCCAGCCAAGCTGCAGAGTCAGTAAACTGTCCCAAAGAAACTGGGCAGCCAGCAAAGGGCTTAAAGCAGGCAGAGTGGGCTGGGCAAGAAAGAGGTCCCTGGAGGCTGGAGGCTAAGGGCCAAGGGAGAAACGACAGGTGGCCACTGAGCAGGGGTGTGGCCAGCCTGCCTCACCACCACAGCTTTGCTAACCTGGGTCCATATTCTCATCAGAGGTTTGGCTAAAGACATTTAATCAAGGGAGTGTTTTAATTAAGGCTTTAGAGGGGCAACAGGAGTTGGCGTCGTTTAAAGTTGGAGGCTGTGTTGGTTAGAACGTGGCTTTAGCTGCTGGAGAAAAGGACAGGCAAAGAGGCCTAAACTGAGTGAAAATGACAGTAGTTTGAACAGGATGATTCTTGCCTGTACAGTCCAGCCTGAGGTGGTGACTCTGGATCCTTCTGTCTCAGCTCCTTGGTCCTTACGGTCCACAGTGGTTCAGCACTGCAGCCACACCTGCCCCTGGGAAGGGAAGAAGAGGAGGAGGATGCCCTTCCTCAAGGAACCCAGCAGTGGCACTTTGCGAATGCTCCAGGAGTCGCAATTTTGACACATGCCATTCTCGGCTCTAAGGAGTCTGGGAACTTGAGTCTTCCCGGGTGGCTGCACATCCAGCTAGAATTCCCAAACTACCCAAGTGGGAAACCCATACTGAGTCCACAAGCAGTCTCAGCTAGGGGCCTCTGCTGACAGGCCATTGCTCCCAAAGCAGCGACCTGGGTGCTCCTGACTTGCAGTTGTCCCAGGAGGCTCTCAGATCCACACCGTGAGCAGGCGTGCCTGGAGGCTGGGATGCATGTGTGGGAGCACTGTCCTCTCCCAGAGCTACGGGAGGTGTGGCGAGGCGTTCAATGTGGAGCAGAATTAAATTCATGCTTGCTATTTACTATATTTGCTTGAGAAAAGACACTAAAGGCACAGTTACCACCACCTGGGGCCCCGCCAACATGATTGTCCATTGAAAAGGTCCTCCCGGTCAGGCAGCCTGCACCCTACAGAACCAGGGAAGAAAACAGACATGAGCTCCAGACAGAGTAGGGGCCCATCCATATTAAGCAAGACCAAGTCCTTGGGCCCTCAATTCTCTCCTGTTAGATGATGACAAGGATGCTACTTCATAGGTCTATGATCAAGATTCAATGGAATGAGAAGTGTAAAACACCCATCCCTAAGACTGGCCCATAAGGTGTTTAATAAATGTCTCCATCCTTGGCCCAGGATTGAGGAGCACAGAATGGTTTGTAATTGAGAAGTCAAATTTATGGTGTGAAGTCAGCCAAAGCTGAAGTCTATGCTTTGTGTCCTGTAGCTTAGGCTGAGGCACATGGTCTGTGCCCGTATCCTATGCAGGAACTGGAGGGCCAAACTGTGTCACCTGTGCACAGGGCATGGCAGGTAGAAGGCTGCAGACCAGGGGTGCGAGGCTGGGACCCGACTCAGCAGTAAACCTCAGGAGCTCTGAGGAAGGGTCCCCCAGGCCCACCAGCAGCTGCTCAGCAGCAACACAGAACCACAGCGCCAACAAGGCCACTCCTCCAACCAGCACAAGGGGCTGAAGAACCTCTGTGAGTAGAGGAGTCACACTCTTAGTAGTTGGAGGGTGCGATAGTTCCCACAGAAAGAAATCAAGGGCAATGTGAATATAGGAGTGAATTCTAAAATCTGGCGACATGGTCTTGTTGTACTGAGAAAAACAACCACACTCTCCAGCATTTGCATGGGACCAGCATTTTCACAATACTTACTTCGTTCTTAGGACAGCCCGTGAAGTGGGCGTAAAGTTATCATTAGCCCTTTTCACAGATGAGAACCCAAATCTCTTAAATCTCAGGCTCTGCTGTGTTACTGGGGACTGCAGGAGTCTGGCAACCAAGTGGCCAGGAACGCACATGCTCCGGAAGCACAGGGAACTCTATTTGTCCCATGAGCAAGATGGGGGAAAGCCAGCACAGAATGTGTTAGTTGACGGTGGTATTTGATGTTTTGGCAAAAGCTCAGGTTTTGTAGTAACTGGCCAATTAAGGTAAAATACTATTTTATTCACTGAGCAAACGTAAAATAATGCTGTCAGGTCTTCTGCTGCACCTGAAGCTGACCCCTTTGGTGGGACTCTCTGAACTCATCCACAGTGGCTATGAATGACAGGTCTCTGCTCCACCTGTATCTTATGATACCTGCATTTACCATTCTCCCTCCTACTGGCTTCACTACCTTCAAAATGGCAGGTTAGGTCTGGGACTTTGTTCTACCCACAGGGCAGACACAGTGACAGCTGATTCAGGGCCTTGTAGCAGTGAAGAACATGCAGAGTTTTGTTTAGTCTATACCAAGAAGATCTGATTTAATGGAAGAGGGACTTTAAGGTTAGCCTCCTGCTGATTTTGCTATAGTCAGACACTTGACATTACCTAGAATCCCCACATTTGCAAATGTCATTGCAGTATACTGCTTCTCTAGGATACTGCTTCTCCCACAAAATGCAAAAAATTGTAACCAAAAATTTAAGTGTCCCCTTCAAATGCTTAATTACTTTATCAATAAGGTACTAAAGTCTTCCAACATGCTAATTAAAATATATTTCTCTTGAGTCATATTCCTGTGGAGGATCACGCACCTCCCGGGCACATCTCCACAGCAAAGGTCAAGGCCTTCTCAACTTTGGCTGGGGTTCTGTCTCTTTGCTGATAAGCAATTCTGACAATGGTAGGAGCATTCCTCAGGGGGTTTTAGGAATTGCTTATTCTCATTTCTGGAAAGAAACCCAAGTGGGTTTGCTTCACAGACTAGAGTTGCCCAAATCCAACCTGCTGTTCTTCTGCGACATCCAGGTTTTGAGTGAGCAGTTACGACCTTTCACTACCCTCATCCACTCTGTTGGTGGCTCTCGTTTCACTGGGGAATGTGACATGGCTGGCCAAGTTCATTCACAGCTAGGCTCTCCTGCTGCCTGTGCATCCTTCAGGGAGTAAGTTTCAAATTCTGAAAAGTGACATGAGACTACATATTTTGGACCTTCAGGATTCCTGGGGAATATTAAAGTCGTTGGCTCCAGAGTTCTGACTTATGGTTTGTGTTGTTGTTGTTGTTTTGCTTTTAATGTTCCAGCATTAACACATACCTCTTTTAATGATTTTTTTCTTAATATTTTCACCTACAATCTTATATCTACCTATTTGTATGTTCATTGATTTGATCTCAGTACACTGAACTTCACTGTTTTTTTGCTGGGAGATGGGTAGGATTCTTCCCTGTGCATTAACCAAGCTTCTCCTGCATATTCCAGACCACTTGGTGGTTTAGCACCATCTAGCAGCAGGACGTAAAATGAATGTCCTTTATTAGTGACTCTTTTACAGCAGATCAGAGACATTGAGAGGGACTCTCCTATGTTTTTCAGGCCACACTGCCTAAATCCTAAACCCTAATTCTAAATTCTGAATTACCAAAAAAATCTCTAATCAAACCACCAACAGGTCTTGAAGTTTCATTTTTAGTGTCCCTACTCCACATGTGAAGTGATAGTTTATGCTTCTGATATATAAACCCAGATGAAAAGGTTATCTAGTTACCAGTATAATGAACACAGTAATTAAGGTGGATGAATGGATGAATTCAGATTTTTGTTATTGCAAGCAACAGTAATTTAAAAACCTAGCTAAAGAAAAACAACCAGGGAGCACATCATGGGAGCTCTGGTAGCCTGGAAAGCCACCAGGAGAGCTCCGAGAGTCACGGCGGGCTGTGGGAAGGACCTCTCCTTCTCGGGGCCACGGCGCCTCCCAGAGGGTCCTCTTGTCTCTCAGTGCCTCTGCTCATTTTCCCTACTTCTCCTGTAGGCAGGTTCTTCCCACACCCAGACCACCTCTGCCTTGGCACCTCAGCAAAGGAAAATGTTGTTCCTTCTCATACAGGGAAGGACGCTAATTGGCCCTGCTTGGGTCACAAGCCCAGTACTTGGGTCTGTTGTCAACAGGAAAATGTACTGTGATTGGCCAGACCAGTCATGAACCCACCCCTTGGACCAGCGACACCCAGACTGTCTCCAGAAGGGTCATAAGGAGCCTTATCAGACACAGAAAGATGACTATTGTGGCCTACCACGCTGGCTACCCAGGAAGCAGTTATGATAATAATGTGGGAGCACTGAGGTCAAGGCTGTGACATTCAGCCAGATGACCACTAGAATCTCCCCACTTACGAGTCTGTGGATGAAGCTCCAAATAAAGCCACTACATCACTAGATCACCTTATGGGCTCAATCCCTCAAGTCCATGTGTCAAGTCTTGAACGTTAGCACCACAGAATGGGACTGTATTTGTAGTTTGATAACGTTTTTAAAGAGGTAAGTAAGGTAAATCAAGATCACTAGAGTAGGCCCTGATTCAGTGACTGGTGTCCTTATAAAAAGAGATTAAGCAGAGAGACACACAGCGGAAAGTCCACGAGGACACTGAGAAAGGATGGCCATCTTGTAAGCTAAAGAGAGAGGCCTCAGGAGAAATAAAACCTGCTGCTGCTTGACCTTGGATTTCTAGTCTCCAGAACAGTGAGAATAAATATCTATTGTTGAAGCCACCCCGTCTGTGGCACTTTGTTATGATGGCCCCCATAAATGAATACAGACAGCAAACAAGATCTTCAAAGTGGTGGCCGGATGAAGACTGGGCAAGTTCAGGCCAAGGTGATATGTGGAGTGGGAGAACAGGAGGTTCTTTGAGGTTCTGGTTAAGGTAGAGTTCTCCCCAAGGTTCAGGGGCCAGGACTAGCAATCTATTACCTGCTGGTCCTGACAAAGACACAATCAAAGTAGGAAAGAGGGTAAAAGGGACAAGGGCAGAGAAGTCGATGACAGGCTTCATTACAGTAGGCCAGGTCCCGGGACATGGACTTGGCCTGCAGGAACCTGGCTCCCCCATGGCTTCAGCCTTCTCTGGAATCCCAGGTGAGTATCCACTGATAAATTTTGGAGCTCTCAGCATCTCTCAGACCCAGGGTTCTGCCAGCCAAAAGACTGAATGTCTGCTGTGTCTGATGGAAGGCTTACCAGCATGAGTCCTTGGCCATTGCCACACTATTATGACACCCAACAGTCAGAGCCCAATCCCTCAGGCCTACTTTTTGTGTGTGCTATGAGAGTCCAGTGGTCCAAACTGGGGTCTCCTCTGCCCCTTCTGACTGAAGTCCTCAGTCTACCCTGCCTCACACCTCATCCTTGTCCCACCAGGGACCTACCACCATGTCAAACAAAGAACGTTGTCATGACTACCTGCCTGGCCTCCTTCCTAGCCCAGACCTAGGGCCTTGAGCCACCTGGTGGATCTGCCTGCATCCTAGATCCATCTGACCTGGCTGGAGCTATCACTCCCTGCATGGCCTTTGCTGTGACCTTTGCCCTCTGGCAGATCACCCTGGCACTAGATGGTTCTCAGAAGCAGCACTCAGAACCTACCAACCTGTGCTGCTGGGATCTTATGAAGATTCCACCTCAAGTACAACGCATGGTTGGAAAAAGCATATTGACTCATCGGGAAACAGTGAACGTGGCCCAGCCACAGCACAAACCCCTGACTCCAAAGGAAGTGGTTTGTTGGGGAGACAGACTTCTGTCTGGCAAAGCAGCACTGGGGAGGCTGAGGGCGCAATCTGGAAATTGCTTCTTTGTTGAACATTACAATATTTGCCAACACGGGGTTTTCCATTTGTGTGTGAATTCAAATAAAATTTCTGGCCACTGTTGTTTATAGTCTAAATATATATTAATATTTCCACATAACAAATTCTAAGGAAGACAAATGAAATACTTAAATAACCCAAGCATTGTAGACCTACTGAATACAGCATTTTACCTTCACATTCTTCTTTCTGTAATCACCCCAGACGTTTGCTTAGAGAACAAACCTGATAACGTCAAAAGATGAGGAAGGCTGAACTCGGAGAAATAAAGGAAGCATAAATCAGGAAAACTTTGGAGCTTCGGAAAGACACTTTAATTTTGTAGACAAAAGACTGCATTAAGGAGGAATAATGCAATAATCAAAGGTGAACGGATCTCCATTGTCTGGCATCTTTCTCTGTGGGAATTTTCCCACCCCTGACAGCTGTAAGGGGGGAGGGGCGCTGAATGTGGCTGCGCCTTTATTCTCTCACCCTTTTTCTCCCCAGCCCCTCCTCTTCTCCGTCAATAAATGTCTGCAATCATATTCTTGAGCTCCTGTGTGATTTCAAGGTTCATCTCTTCCATGCAGCTCAAACACTAATTATCCCAGCTGTAATTAGTAAGATAATTAAATACTGGCTCACTCATCACTCTACCTTGGGTCGGGTCGTGATTCTCCCAGAAGACCTTGAGCAGTTCCTCAAAGCTGATGTGTTCCGGCTGGTACACAACCCGGACGACTTCTGCATGGCCAGTTTTTTCTTGAAAGAAACAGAATGTACAATCAAAATTTACTGACAACATCAATTTATTGCAAATTATTTGTTCTCAAGAAACCAACAGACAGAAGCTGAAATGATTCCCTCTGCAGGAGGGGCAAAAGCACGAGAGTGGACTTGAGCTGCCTCATCCTGAGCCTCTGTGCTGGCTCTTTTCCCATGGGAGCACACGGCTGCACTCCAGTGAGCTTCCTGGGGCTGTGGATTCTCCATTGTGCTCTCCTATTATCTTTAAGTCCATGAGAAATGAACTTGGATTTTCATTTTTCTAATCTCACTCTGATGAAATCCTATAACCCAACCTGACATAACAGTCAAGACTGGAACCCTGCAGAGGGGAATGAGCCTGCTTATTCTTGCCCCATGTTATACACAGTAAGCTCAGCTGCCCTACGGAGCAGGGTGGTGCCGTGGAGAAACCCGTAACCGCAGGCCGAGAAGGCTTCACAGTAGATGAGTTGGCTAGTGGAGAGCTGTATCTGCTGTGCTGCTGACACGGGGGCAAGGACCAGGTTCAAACACACGGCCGTGGAAAGTGCCTTCTCAGGAAACAATGACTCAGGCCTCTCTGGTAAACAGTGACTGCAGCAAATGTTTGCAGGGCCCACTGGTGCAGGCTCATTCTCAAAGCCAGTCCGGAGGTTCCAGGGATTGGGAGTGAGGAACCATTCACAATAGGGAGTTCACGTCCCTCCTACTGCACAGCCTTAGAACTTGGTGAAAAACAGACCCTCCCTACTGTCAGCATCTCTGTATTTATATTCCTTTTCTGTCTCTTTCAGTCACCTCATGTGTAATGAAGAACTTGACTTTGTCCAAACAGAGGTCTGGCCTTGGCCCTTGGCTACTGGGAGATAACTTATGTCCTCTCTGATAGAAGACAGGAATGGGGCTGGCCACTCCAGCTCTGAGGATGGGCGGAGGAGCAGCCGTGTGAAGCAGGGTGGGGGCTGTGGATGACATGTCGTCAGTCAAGCTGGGGCCTGAGGTGAGCCATGGGGCACAGTGGAGCCACAGTCAAAGCTCTGCACACCAAAGCTTCGGCAAGTCTCTCTGGCATGCAATGCTCTCTGCACGCTGTCAGACGTGGATGCCGGGAGGTTAACACGTGCAGACTCCACAGGAGAGGAGACCAGAAGGCCTGGGAACCCTCCAGACACTGCCCCCACCTCTGCAGCCGATTTTGAGCTGTGCTTGTTCCCTATGATAAATCATAAGTGCAAGTGGAACAGCTTTCAGTGAGCTCTGATGGTCCCTCCAGCAGACTGTCAGGCACGAGGGTGGCCTGGGGACACCCAAACTGCGCCATGGTTTGCTGGTGTTTTCCTATGCTGGTTTTTCCTCTTTCGTTCTTATAACCATCTGATGCCGGCAGCGGAGAAGGTAGAAATTCCCATTCCACAAACCCAAAAGCTGAGATTCAAGTAAGGTCAATTGGCTTGAGGTCACAGAGCCAGTGAATTTTGTGCCATAACCTAAATAAAACACCCTCTGACTTCTTGTCCAGAGTTCTACTCAGCACATCCCAGGAGAGCAAAAGCAAGGTGCGCATTGGGAACATAAGTTCAGGAAAGGAAAGAAATCTACCAATTATCTTTAACTTTTTTAATATATAATTTCTTTCTGATTGTAGATGCAATAATCACAAGTGAGATAAAGCTTAGAAAATATGGCAGAAGCACCCAAATATAAAATAAAACCCGCCTGTATTCATGCAACGTAAGCACTATAAACTCTTCTTATGCGTCCCTTTCTGAAGGCATCCAAATGCACATGCACAAGCACACCCATGTGCAGTTTCTACGACTGTATCGTGATAGCAGGCTTCCCACTTACCGGTGTACTGAGATTATTTCCCCATGCCACTGAAATTTTCAGAAAACACCACTTAGAATGACTACATAACACTCCATCAGATGGCTGTCCGGTTACTTAGTCAATCATTCCCTGTCATTGGGCATTCAGACTGAATCCTATTTTTATCCCTGAACGTAAGTAGTTTTCCACACTTCTAAAGCTGCCGAAAGCCATAGTTATATAAATGGAATTTCTAAATCAGCGTTTATAAACGTTTTAAAATTTCTTGATGGCTAGTGACAAACTGCTTTTCAGTAAAGTTGACCCAATTTTCTTTCCCCATTAGCAGCATATTTAAGGGCCAGATTCACTTGCTGTTAAATGGTTTTAGACCTTTGCAATTTATAGCTAGAAGTCAGTATTCTATTGTTTCAGTTATAATGAATTTAATTATTAGTGAGTTAAAAATAAGTTTCATGTTTATTAGTAAATTTCATTCCTTCTTTGCTCTAATTTTTGCCATGCCCTATTTACATTGAGTTATAATTGGTCATTATGTTGATGTTTTATTATTAGTTGGTCATTCCATATAATTTTAATTAAAATACTTTAGTCATTTAAGTTAGCATCGAAACAAATTCTATGCTGACAGAGCAGAAAAAAATGACAGGAGAGAGTCTAGGAAGAACATTCAGCAGGTATAATAATCATGTTATGTAAACCACTTTTGATCTACTTTAAAATCTTATTTTGTCATTTGAAGTGTTGAATGATTTAACTACATAAGCTTGAAAATTCTGAATATTAAAAATGGTAACAGTATGTTATAAATATGACACATGTATCATGTATTTGGTATGAAAAGCATTGAAGCCACACTAGAAATATAAGCAAAAGCTATAAGCAGACTATTCATATAGGAAGAGATAAATGTAAATCAAGACATGCGAAATGCTCAACATCTTTAGATCAAATAAGAGCAAATAGGTGCATATGAAAACACTAGCATACCACCTCTTATTTATTACCATTTGTACAGCCCCTTGAAAGCATGCTGCTATTGTTGAGGACATAGTGGAACCAGTGCCCTTTCTGTCCAGTGACAGGGAAAAGTCCCCATGCCCTATGGGAAAGCCCCCTGGCACACATGGCACGAGCCACAAAGGTGTGCATTCATCTTGATGAACGATCCAGGAAACCTCAAAAGTACAACCCCAAAAGAGGGAAAAGATGTCTGAGGACTCTCATTCAGACCACCATTCTCACAAAGGTGGAGGACTACAAGAAACACAGAAGTCCAAGGAGAGAAATGCTTCATGGAACAGCCGCAAGATGAAATGCAGTAACTATCAAAACCCAGCGTGCTCACCGCAGGGAAAGCTGCTAGTCCTAGAACACCAACAGCCTGGCGGGCACTCGGCCTACTTGGTGCCACTTTGCGCTCACAGCAAGTTTCCTCTACTGTGTTAAAGAATATATAACATAACATTAGCCACATAAGACTGAGCCATTTTTAAGCGCACAGCTCAGTGGGGTTCAATACATTCATGGTCCAGCAAACACCACCCACCTCGGGAGCTTCTCATCCTACAAAACCACACCCATTCAACACCAATGCTCCTCCCCTCTCCTGGCCCTGGCACCCCCATCCTACTTTCTTTCTCCATGAATTTGTCTGCTTCAGGTATCTCCATATAAAGTGGAATCATAAGGTATTTGTCTTTTTGTGACGGGCTTATTTCATTTGGTGTGATGTCCTCAAGGTTCATCCAGATGTCAGAATCTCCTTCCTGGTATTTCAGTGTGGGTATGTGTGTGCACGCGCCACATGTTACCCATCCACTCACCCCTCAAGACACATGTGGGGTGCTTCCACCTTTCAGCTGCCATGAATAATGCTGTTTTGAAGCGGGGGACATGAACTGTTTGCAAGTGTGCAAGAAAGACATGGTCCCATCTTACAGATGAGGAAACAGTTCTGTCCACAAGTTTTCTCATACAATATCACACAGCTGGTAAGTGGTAGACACAGCCACAAGCCAACTAGGTTTCAAGCTAAGAGGAAGCTTGGGCCCACTCTATGACCCCAAGCCCCTTCAGAACAGAGGAAACTGGAGTCACTAAGAGCAAGCAAACGTCACACAGCAGTGGCTCTGATGAGAAATCACAGCTGGTGGTAGCTGATACCCAGGCTGTCAAAAATATTTTGCAGGATTAGGCTCTTCTTTTGCAACAGCAATATGGGGTCAGGAAAGTTTACCGCTCACCAGCCAACACTTGCAGACTCGATCCCCACAGACACAGATGCAGACACTATTTGTGGAGAGGTTTAAAGATGCCTAGTTGTTTAAGAGAAACCACGATCATTCAAATTCAAGGTCCATTTGCATTGACAAACAGTACAGAGATGCCCTTGCCAAACTCACCTTTAAGTTTCTTTACTTTATTTCTCCAAAGTAAAAGAACCTGTGTAAAAATACACAGTGCAAATGATCAAAAGGATTAAGGGACTCGGAACCACTTATGGAAATGCCCGCGCTTCGCAGGAGCCAGCCAACGTTACAGGCTCATTTCATTCCAGAGGCCAATCTGCAAATACTGTCTGGTGCTTCCAGAGACAAAAGGCCATATCTTAAAAATATTTCGAGCCGCGTCTTCACATTACATCGTGCAAATAGCATGATAGATGTGACGGGCAAACACTCGTTAACATCCACAGCAGCAGCCCAGGTGCCTTCGCACTGCTGTTCCAAAATATCTTAAAAGGAAAGATGGGAAAGCAGGAGTGCCCTCTCTGAGCACCTTGCTCTGCTGCCTGACCTCACAGATCCCAAGGAAGGTGAAAGGTACAGAGGCTGGGGGAGGGGCCATTCCTTCCAAGACAAAGTATCCTACGAGAGATCCCGCTGAGCTGTAGGCACAGGCTGCCAGGTGCCACCCTGACGTGTCTAGGAGCTCAGTTCAGGAGCCCTGTGCCCAGGTGGGCATCCTGGCCACTTGGCAGCTGTGTGGCCTTGGCAAAGCTCTTCTCTGGGCTTTGACTTCTTGACTTCCTTATCTGTAAATGGGGACATTAGTGGTACTTGCCCCAGAGAACTGTTTTGATCCTGAGTTCAATAATCCATGGGAGTGCTGGGGTTGTGGCTCAGTGGGAGAGCGCTTGCCTAGCATGTGTGAGGCATTGG